TTTCTTTCTTTCTTTCTTTCTTTCTTTCTTTCTTTCTTTCTTTCTTTCTTTCTTTCTTTCTTTCTTTTTATTAATTAGCCATGTCGGGTGAAAACAGGGAAAACACTCTTTTTTATTCTGAAATCCCCAAAACGGTAAACAAAGCTGCCATTCTTATGCTGTCTTGGAAGCCTCTTATAGACCTCTTTCAGGTATGTCGTTTGGTTATTTCTTCCCTCTTTCATCCCTCATTTTTTTCCCCCGTCCTAAAGGTGTGCTACAATTCCTATCTGAATCCCTGGTACAGAGATGAGGGGTCAAAAAAGTCAAGATGGATCCCAGGGCTTCAGTCGCAGGGGTTCAGCCAAAGTCTTGATTTTTTTGACCCCTCCTCTGAAGCTGCACCAATCAGTTGAAAGCATTGTCTAAAACTTTTGCTAGATATCTTGGGGAATGGGACAACTTGCCACAGCCAACTTGCTGAAGCCAACTCACCATGGTCAACTCACCATGGCTAACTCATCATGGCCAACTCACTGCAGCCAACTTGTTGCAGCCAACTCATCATGGCCAACTCGCCATGGCCAACTAACCATGGCCAATTCATTGCAGCCAACTTACCATGGCCAACTCACCACGGCCAACTCACCATGGCCAACTCATTGCAGCCAACTTGTTGCAGCCAACTCACCATGGTCAATTCGCCACAGACAACTCACCATGGCTAACTCATCATGGCCAACTCACCATGGCCAACTTACCATGGCCAACTCATCATGGCCAACTCATCATGGCCCACTCATTGCAGCCAACTCATCATGGCCAATTCGCCATGACCAACTCACCATGGCCAACTCACCATGGCCAATTCATTGCAGCCAGCTGATCATGGCCAAGTTGCCATGGCCAACTCATTGCAGACAACTCATGGCCAACTCGCCTTGGGACAATATAGCAATTCTATTTAATTATTTAAAATAAATTAAAAATATTTTACTTTTTGCCATTCACATTTTATTCTGTTCCTCCTTTTGCATCCTTCCTTTAATGATTCTATTTCACCAATTCTTTGATATTAGTGTAACTCTTGTCCTGCGGCGAGTTGTCCTGCGCCGAAATAGCTGTGGCGAGTTGTTCTGCAGCAACTTGGCTGTGGCGATTTAGCCATGTGAGTTGGGCATGGTGATTTGTCATAGACCCATATCTTGATAGTGCTAACAGTTGTTCTTGCCGGCTACTTTCTTCACTTATTAAACATGCAAAGCATTTTCTCGTAGGCTGTGTTTAATTTTAATCAATAGCCTTTTGTCTGAGTTGTTTGAAGGGTTTGCTTTGGATCACCAGCTTTGATATCAGGGAGAAGCTTAAAAGAATAACCAAATTGGAAGGGACCTTGGAGGTCTTCTAGTCCAACCCCTTAATTATTAAAAGCTTAAATAAGAGCAGTGTTATTGTTTGAAGTAATTCAAATGAAATTAAGTACAGGTAGTCTTTGACTTATGATCACAATTGAGCCCAAAATTTATCTTGTTAAGTGAGACATTCGTTAAGTGAGTTTTGCCACTTTTTGCTACCTTTTTTGCCACGGCTGTTAAGCGAATGACTGCAGTTGTTAAGTTAGAAACACGGTTCTTAAGTGAATCTGGCTTCTCCGTTGACTTGGCTTGTCAGAAGGCCGTAAAAGAGGATCACGTGACCCCAGGACACTGCAACCGTCACAAATACGAGTCAGTCACCAAGTGTCTGAATTTTGATCAGTGACCACAGGGATACTGAAACGGTCATATGTGTGAAAAACGGTCATAAATTAATTTTTTCAGTGCCGTTGTAATTTCAAAAGATCACTAAACGGATGATTATAAGTCAAGGACTATCTGTAGTAAACAATTTTAGTTTTCCCGCATGTTCCTTCTGTCCCTTTCCTCTCTCATCAGGCCAGCCTGGATTATGGGATGTACTCACGAGAGGAGGAGCTGCTGCGGGAAAGGAAACGTATTGGCACCATTGGAATCTCCTCCTACGATTATCACCAGGAAAGTGGCACCTTTTTATTCCAAGCCGGCAGCGGGATCTACCATGTCAAAGATGGCGGCTCAAATGGGTTTACGGTGAGCGGTTGTGGCGGTTTGTTGTTGTGTACCAGTTAGCACTGAACAATATAATTTACTTTCTGGAGAGGCAGGAAGGAGAAAATTGGTCCTGCTGGATGGATGGGGAAGAGGATGAGAGGTTTTGCTTCTGGATGGAAGTCTACCATAAATGTTGGAGGAGGCCTAGGTGGTTCTCCTTCTCCTAGCTTCCAACCATCATTCCCAGTGTTGTGGCTCCGTTGCCTGAGCCTGGGCTATCGACAGATGCAGACTCTGAGAGTGAGGGGGAGGAGTTGGCAAGGCCTCCCTCTCCAGGACCCTCCTCTCTGGCAATGCCTCCGGAGGACACCGAAGGCCAAACGATAGGCTCAGAGCCAAGCACGTCCCCGCAGCCACAGGTGGACAGCGACGAGGAAAATAAGTGCTGGCTGGACCCTCAACAGAGGCGCAGGGAGAAGCGTGCGCAGCAGAGGGGAAGGCGTGCCAGAGATTAGCTGAGTCACTGGACCACACCCCACAGGGTATAAATGTGGGTGTGGTGGCCATTCGGACTCTGTGACGGACAAAGCTAATCTCTGGCGAGGCACTTTGCACCTTCGGACACAACACCTATTTGCTGTGGATTTAATTACAAACTGGACTATTCAAACTGTGTGTATTTTTGTCTGTGTTATCGGAGTAAAAGTTTTTGGCAGGCAGCCACGGAGTTGCTGCCAAGTTCCTTATCACTGACGTTGAGTGTTTGAAGAGTTTATTTAACCCTCGGCTGGCTGGTTGGGTGTGTGCGTGGTACGGGGACAGAACACCCTGCTGGAGCTTTGGAGCAATCTTGTTGGTTGCTGAATCCCATTATCATCATCATCATCATCATCATCGTTGTTATTATTATTAATCGCACAGTCAGCCAGGTGTTAAGACTGGGTTTGGCATTTTTGTCTACCTATCGAGTCCTTACCAAGGACCTGGGAGAGGCAAATCTGGATGTTTGACAGTGTTACAGATATCATCGCAGGATGGAAGCAGTTCCAAGTAAAGCTGCCTTCTGCAATTGACTGATGGCAAATTTGTCAATGCCAATGATGGCATTCAAGTGGTGCTCCAGTTGTTTTGGGACTGCACCCAAGGCACCAATTACTATTGATACTACCCTTGCTTGCCTTTGCCATAGTCGTTCTATTTCTATTTGTAGGTCTTTGTATTTTGTTATTTTCTCCAGTTCTTTCTCTTCTACTCTGCTGTCTCCAGGCACCACCACCACCACCACCACCAACACTACTACTACTACTACTTCTCCTTCTCCTTCTCCTCCTTCTCCTTCTCCTTCTCCTTCTCCTTCTCCTCCTCCTTCTCCTCCTCCTTTTCTCCTTCTCCTTCTCCTTCTCCTTCTCCTCCTCCTCCTCCTCCTCCTCCTTCTCCTCCTCCTCCTCATCATCATCCTCATCATTCTCATCATCATCTTCATTATTCACACAGCCAGCCAAATGATTACAGTGGATTTTGCATTTTTATCCATCTATCAAGTCCTTCTCAAGGACCTGTTATTTATTTACTGTATATCCCACCTTTACTATTTTTCATAAATAACTCAAGGCAGTGGATATACTTAATTCCTCTTCCTCCTTCTGCTTTCCCACAACAACAAACCCCCCCCCCCCTTGTGAAGTGGGTTGGACTGAAAATGAGTGACTGGCCCAAAGTCACCGAGCCAGCTTTCATGCCTAAGGTGGAACTAGAATTCACTGTCTCCTAGTGATTGGACCATAGTCACCTACTGAGCTTTTATGCCCAGGCAAAATTAGAACTCAGGGTCTCCCAGTTTCTAACCTGGTGCTTTCATCATTAGACCCAACTGGCTGGAATATCTGAATTCCTTCCCTACAGTTGTTGGTTGAACCTACTCCAGACCTGTTGTTATCAGAGGACCCAAGTCTTCAGTTGTTGTGAGCATTGATATATGCCTTTTCAAAAACGATTCTGGGTAGATCAAAATGGACAATTGTCAGTGTGTATGAGAGTTCATGACTGGGAAGACATGGTAAGAAGATCAGCCAATGAATAGGCATAGCAACTAAGTCAGCCAATGAGGACTGTTTGGAAACTGAAACAGTTTGGAGCCTGGGCGTGGTTTAGCTCTGTAACTCTGAGTCTGTGCAAAAGGAACAAAGCTGAAACTAGTCTGCTGAATCGAAACTGAAACTGTTCTCTCTTCTGCCTGTGTTTTGCCTGTAACTACTACCACGTTGAAAAAATCTGATTTTGGTATTGTATATTTATTTCATGTGTTATTACGGATATAAAGAGAAGTTACTGAATCCTGCTGAATCAGTTACCTGTGATGTGCTTTCTGGATTTGATTGCTGTTGCAAACTCTGACAACAATGAAATGTTTTTATTTTGTTCTTGTTTCTATTTGTTTTAACCAAACGTTTTCACAAGTTGTCTTGAAGTCTACATGAAGGGGCTTTGTGTTGACAGATAGGTTTATGTTCTCCAGTCTTCTAAAGGTGTCAAGATGTTGGCCCATCCTGTTCAATGTCCATTCTGGGCTGCTCTTATTTTAATGTGGGAGTAAGGTGGGAATGTAACAAATAAAGTAATAAATAAAGTAAAAGCGGGTCCAACTAGATGATCACTGAAGGGCCCTCTTTGTTCTTAATATTGTAAAAGAGAAAATGCTTGCAATTATATCCAGCATGTAGGCAGGCACATTCCTTTCAAGTAGGACTTCTACTTCAAGGCCTCTCAGTTGTCACAGATAAGGACAGTCTAGGTGATTTACACTTTGAAGGTCAGAGTAACAGAGATGTCCATATTGTTGTTTCAACAAGAGATAATTTGAAATTATGCTTCAGTAACTTTTTAGAAGAATTATTATAACTGTTTTGCAAACTCAGTAATTAGGAAATGTCAATTAAAAATGACAAATGTATATGACCATATGAATTGCTGACTTCACAGAATCCTTTGTTTGAAACTGTATAAATGCTCTGAGCTGAAAATCATACTTCGGTCAAACCTCCTCTTCGGTAGCGATATCAAGGTTTGATCCTTTATTGCAATAAATAAGTAAACTGACTCTGTCTGCCCTAAAAGGGATGTTTCTTTAATTCCCTATTTCCACAACAATTTCACTCAGTAGTCCTGGGGAGGCAAGTACGTGCTTCAAAAGAGTCCTTTCCATATTCTTTTACCATTACAGCAACAACCTTTGCAGCCCAATCTGGTTGAGACCACTTGCCCAAATATTCGGATGGATCCGAAGATCTGCCCCGCAGACCCCAACTGGATTGCCTTTATTCACAGCAACGACATCTGGATCTCCAATCTGGCAACCAAAGAAGAGCGGAGGTTAACCTTTGTACATAAAGGTGATGCTGGCTGACCCATGGTTTGTTGAATGATAGTTTATTGAATAAAGTAGAGTTGACTGGATGTGCAGAAATGAATGATATTTTGGATTAGCATAGTGGATAAACCAAACCAGTGGTGAAATGCACTCACCTTTGCTACCGGTTCGGGAGTGTGAGGACGCACGTCTCTTCTGCGCATGCTCAGAGGGTCAAAAACGGAACGTAATGATGTTCCGGCAGGTGGGCGGAGCCTCCCACCGTCGGTGCTACCGGTTTGCGCGAGCTGGATAAATCCAGCCGGATTTCACCGCTGAACCAAACTCTTCCCCCCCAAAAAGCCAGATATCTGCAGAATTATTAACGGGAACCGATTAGACCAAACCATGATTTATTTTCTTGTCCCTGATTAGTTTCATTCTGATTTTGAATCAGGATTGGGCTTTCCTTCTCTGAAATGTGTTTTTGGGAGTTCCCAGCCTGAGCTCTTCAATGTGGTACCTTTGAACTACCAGTGTGTTGTATATTAATTAAAATTTAAACTCAGTTACAGGTTGTCCTTGGCTTACAACCGTAATAGAGCCTGCAAATCATCGTCTTAAGTCATGGTAGTCATAAATTGGTCACCCAGATGACCGATCTGATTTTACGGCCTTTTTTTTTCCAGCGGTCGTAAATGTTGGTTTTCAGCAAAATGCTTGTAAAACACAGTTGCATGTCCACAATCGTAAATACCATCCAGTTGCTAATATGTGATTGCGTGATCGTGTATGTGAGTGTGTGTAGAGCAGTGGTGAAATGTAAAATTTGTTACTACAAATTTGTAACGTGGTTTGGTGTAATGTGGGGTAATGTGACTGGGTGGGCGTGGCCAACTTTTTTTTTTTACTTTTTTACTTTTTACTTTTACTTTTTTAAAGCATTTTTTTACAACCTATTCGGGCAAATAGGTTGTAAAAAAATGCTTTTAAAAGGTAAAAAAAAGGCTCTGACAATCACAGCTGTGGCGCGCGATCGTCAGCCTTTTTTTTTTACCTTTTAAAAGCAGGAAGCAACCTTGGTGGGCAGAGCCTCGTGCCACCATCGCTACCAGTTCTCCGAACCACCTGCCACAATCGCTATCGGATCGCCCGATCCATCACTTAACAGCCACCTTGCTTAGCAGTGGAAAAGCAGTGGTCCCAATTTTAGTCGTAATTCGAGGACTACTTGACGTTGGGTCCATAAAAAAAGGAAATGCTTGAGCCTCCTAGTTCCATGTTACAAAACTTCAGGATGCAGAGAATAAATGCATTCCTTTCCTAGGGAGTCTTAGCAATTCTGGGCAGCATAATAGCAGTAGCATTTAGATTTATATACCACTCCACACTGCTTTACAGCCCTCTCTAAGCGGTTTACAGAGTCAGCATATTGCTGCCCCAACAATCTGGATCCTCATTTTACCGACCTCGGAAGGATGGAAGGCTGAGTCAACCTTCAGCCAGTCAGGATCGAACTGCCGAACTGCTGGCGACAGGCAGTCAGCAGAATTAACCTACAATACTGCATTCTCACCACTGCACCACCACAGCAACAAAGATTAACTGGAGGCTAAACCGAAAGATGAACGATTGAGAGAATTGGGCATGTCTCACCTTTCGAAGTGAAGGATAGATAGATGATAGGTAGACAGACAGACAGACAGACAGACAAGTGAGAGACAGAAAGATAAGACATAGAGAGCAATAACGCTTAGACTTACCCTGTTTTCCCCAAAATAAGACATCCCCTGATAATAAGCCCAATTGGGCTTTTGAGTGCATGGCAATAAGGCCAAGCACTTATTTTAGGGTTCAGAAAAATATAAGACAGGGTCTTATTTTCAGGGAAACACGGTATCTATCTATCTATCTATCTATCTATCTATCCATCCGTTCATCTCTCTCTCTCTCTCTCTCATCTATCTATCTACAGTATCTATCCACTATATCTATCCATCCATCCATATCTATCTATCTATCTATCTATCTATCTATCTATCTATCTACCTACCTACCTACCTACCTACCTATCATCTATCTGTCTATCTATCTATCTATCCATCCATCTATCTATCTATCTATTATCTATCTATCTATCTATCTATCTATCTATCTATCTATCTATCATCTATCTATCTATCATCTACCCTGTTTTCCCCAAAATAAGACATCCCTGATAATAAGCCCAATTGGGCTTTTGAGTGCATGGCAATAAGGCCAAGCGTTTCAGGGTTCAGAAAAATATAAGACAGAGTCTTATTTTCAGGGTAACATGGTATCTATCTATCTATCTATCTATCTATCTATCTATCTATCTATCTATCTATCATCTATCTATCTATCTATCTATCTATCTATCTATCCATCCATCTATCATCTATCATCTATCTATCTATCCATCCGTTCATCTCTCTCTCTCTCTCTCTCATCTATCTATCTACAGTATCTATCCACTATATCTATCCATCCATCCATATCTATCTATCTATCTATCTATCTATCTATCTATCTATCTATCTATCTATCCATCCATCCATCTATCATCTATCATCTATCTATCCATCCGTTCATCTCTCTCTCTCTCTCTCTCATCTATCTATCTACAGTATCTATCCACTATATCTATCCATCCATCCATATCTATCTATCTATCTATCTATCTATCTATCTATCTATCTACCTACCTACCTACCTACCTACCTATCATCTATCTGTCTATCTATCTATCTATCCATCCATCTATCTATCTATCTATTATCTATCTATCTATCTATCTATCTATCTATCTATCTATCTATCATCTATCTATCTATCATCTACCCTGTTTTCCCCAAAATAAGACATCCCCTGATAATAAGCCCAATTGGGCTTTTGAGTGCATGGCAATAAGGCCAAGCGTTTCAGGGTTCAGAAAAATATAAGACAGAGTCTTATTTTCAGGGTAACATGGTATCTATCTATCTATCTATCTATCTATCTATCTATCTATCTATCATCTATCTATCTATCTATCTATCCATCCATCCATCCATCCATCCATCCATCTATCTATCTATCATCTATCTATCTATCATCTACCCTGTTTCCCCCAAAATAAGACCTCCACTGATAATAAGCCCAATCGGGCTTTTGAGCGCATGGCAATAAGGCCAAGCGCTTATTTCAGGGTTCAAAAAATATAAGACAGGGTCTTATTTTCGGGGAAACACGGTATATACTGCTTTACAGTGCTTTACAGCTCTCTCTAAGTGATTTACATAGTCAGCCTCTTGCCATCAACAATCTGGGTCCTCCTTTTACCCACCTCGGAAGGAGGGAAGGCTCAATCAACCTTGAGCCTGGTGAGATTTGAACTGCCAAATTGCAGTCAGCTGGCGGTCAGCAGAAGTAGCCTGCAGTACTGCACTCTAACCACTGCGCCACCACGACTCATAATGAACATTTTGCAGATTGCAACCGTCGTTTATCTTCTTCCTTTTGCCTCGTATGTTGCCTGCACAGAACTTGCCAACGTTGAAGAGGATCCCAAGTCGGCTGGTGTCGCTACCTTTGTGCTACAGGAGGAGTTTGACAGATACACGGGCTATTGGTGGTGTCCGCTAGCTGAGCCAAGTAAGTAATCACGGTGGGCAGCTCGAGAAGTTTACTTAACTTCCCTGGTGTCAGCCCTGCCACGTTGGCCTATTAGAAGAGAAAGGCTCTCGAACTCATGATTAGCAAAAGTACATTTTACTAAAGCTAAGTTGGGTTGTCTCTTAGAAGGTGAATCATCAGATAGAATCTGAGGTCAGGCAGCTATTGGGGAGAAGTCAATACATTGTCCTTGCTAGGTGGCTCAGTGGCTAAGACGCTGAGCTTGTCGATCAGAAAGGTCAGCAGTTCGGCGGTTCAAATCCCTAGTATAGGTTTCCTGTGTGAGCAGGGGGTTGGACTAGATGACCTCCAAGGTCCCTTCCAACTCTGTTACTGTTATTATTATTATTACATTGGCCTTTCTCTGGTTTCGCTCTTGGTAGCTCTTGGTGGAGGAAAGATCCTTAGAATTCTGTATGAAGAAAACGACGAGTCGGAGGTGGAAGTTATTCATGTCACATCCCCTATGTTGGAAACCCGAAGGACGGATTCTTTTCGGTATCCCAAGACAGGTGAGAGAGCCTGGTGAGATATTCCAGAAGGGACCCAGTGATGCCCTAAAGCAGTGGTCACCACTGGATAAATTTTGGTGGTCCGCAGAAAATTTTGGTGGTCCGCAGGAAAATTATTTGCATTTCTAATATTGCACTAAATCGGGGTCCTCAAATTATGGCCCCTGGGACGGATACATGCAATGAACGTTTGTGTTGCTGCAGAGAGTCTCCCCCTTTGAGGTCTTTTTGTGTGGGCTGGAGGGGGGCAGAAATTCTGATTTGGGGTCTGCTTCAGCCTCCTGGTGTGGGGCTTTGGGCGAAGGCTGGAGGGAAGCGCTGCTGGTGGCAAAGAGCTGGAGGACCTTGTTCCAGTGGGACTGCATCATGGCCTGGAACTGGCTGACCATCTCAGCCCGCTGAGCCTGCAGGTGCCGGTACGTGGCCTTGCACTCCCACAGGTCTTCCCTCTGCTTGGAAAGCCTATGCTCCTAGTCCTCAGTGAGGTGCTTCTGCTGAGCCCCTTTCTCAGTCAGATCCAATTTGAACTGAGCTGTTTTGCCAACTCTTTCTCCTGGTGGCTGCTTAGCTCCAACAACTGCTTCCTGTTGGGGCCCTAAGGAGCCCAGGCGGGCAGGTGAGGAATTGGCCACACCCACCCAGTCACATGACCACCTAGCCACCCTCACCCAGCCAGTCATTAGGCAGATCATATTAGTGGTCCGCGGGATTTAAAATTATGAATTTAGTGGTCCCTGAAGTCTGAAAGGTTGGTGACACCTGCCCTAAAACAGTGTTTCTCAACCACTTCAAGATCTGTGGATTTCAATTCCCAGAATTCTCCAGCTGCCTGGAGAATTCTGGGAGTTGAAGTCCACACATCTTGAAGTGGCTTGAGGTAGAGAAACACAACCCTAAGCATCAGGATCTGGGTACCAACTGATCTTGGAGAACAATCAGGAGCCTTTAATTCCTCTGTAACTCTTAATTTTATTTTATTTTTCTCTTCTAGGCACTGCAAATCCCAAAGTCACTTTCAAGTTATCTGAAATAACCATTGCATCTGATGGCACAGTAAGCCTGCTCCGTTTTTTTAATGTCTCGAATAAATGTCTAAAATATGATGGCTTGTATTGTTTGAATCGTGGTGCATTGAATCAACCGTAGTGTCCTGAGCCACAAAGCACCTCACTGTAAACCATAGTTTGGTCCACATTTCACAAAGCCACAACATGGTTGATTTGGCCTCCGCACGTTGCACAAGTCCAAAGAGTTGGGGCTGATGACTTAACATGAACAAGCCACTCTGGTTTATGGGGTAGTTTGTGGTGATGTTATGGGACAAGCCGAGTTATGGGTCACTTTGAAAAACATGCCCAGCCACTTGGTCGGGTAATGGATGAGAAGGAAGAGGTTTGTTACAAGACAAGATCAGGAACCGTTTGGAGATTAAAAGTTGGTTAGAGTGGGTGAGGCACTCGTGTCGAACTGTTATAAAAGTGTTTTTCAAACTTGGCAATTTGAAGATATGTGGACTTCAGCTCCCAGAATTCCCCAGCCAGTCCATATATGCTGGCTGGGGAATTCTGGGAGTTGAAGTCCAAAGATCCTCAAGTTGCCAAATTTGAAACGTGTGTTATAGAAGGTCATTGCATTTGCAGGTAAGACAAGAACTTCCCTTCCCTTCCCTCCTTTCTTTTCCCTTCCCTTCCCTTCTTTCTTTTTCCTTCCCTTCTTTTTCCTTCCTTCCCTTTTTCCTTCCCTTCTTTTTCCTTCCCTTCCCTTCTTTTTCCTTCCCTTCTTTCTGCTTCCCTTCCTTCCTTTTTCCTTCCTTCCCTTCCCTTCTTTCTGCTTCCCTTCCTTCCTTTCTTTTTCCTTCCTTTTTCCTTCCCTTCTTTTTCCTTCCCTTCCTTATTTTTCCTTCCCTTCTTTCTGCTTCCCTTCCTTCCCTTTCTTTTTCCTTCCTTTTTCCTTCCCTTCTTTTTCCTTCCCTTCCTTCCTTCCTTTTTCCTTCCCTTCTTTCTCCTTCCCTTCCCTTCTTTCTCCTTTCTTCTCTTCTTCTCTTTCTTCCTCCCTTCTAAGTGGTTCTTAACATTATACCAAATTTAGGGTTAAAACACTCAAGGTTTTCTATGTTTCCTGTTTGAAAATAGCAGATTGTGTCGCTAGAATTATCCCCTGAAATCTTTTTATTAGGAATGATTGGAGATGGATTTTCTAAAGATAAGATACATCTTATAATACATGTTATAACAGCGGCCAGGCTAATTTTTGCAAAATACTGGAAGGACAAACTAACCCCTCCAGAGGTAACAATAATAAACAAAATTTTAGAATGCGTAGAAATGGCAAAATTAACAAGTGATCTTAATAATGATGTGAACTCAAAATTCAATGCAGTATGGGAAAGGTGGTACAAATGGTGGAATAATAGAATGAGATTGTAAGGTTACGTCTATTTTCAGTAATGGTAGATTCGAATGTATTTGATGTGTATATAATGTATATAATGTAAATATGTAATTACACGACACCTCAGATGTCAACAGAGATCTGATGTTTTTTTAAAAAATTTTAAAATCAATAAAGTATATTCAAAAAAAAAAAAAAGATTATGGGCTTTGTTACTGACCATTCCTGCCCAAAAGATTGAAAATAACATAAAGGGAGAAAGTTAAGAGTTTACAAACTAGGAAACCTGTGAAGGTTCCTGGAAAGAGATTATGACCAAGTTCTATTATTTATCCAGAATTTATTTTTCATTCGTTTTTCATCCATGCCTCTTAATATATTTTGGAGAAAGGTATTAGTAGTTTTTCTAACTGGTGTTTTTCCCATCTTCCCTGAAGATTGTGGGTGCTGTTGACAAAGAACTGGTCCAACCCTTCGAAATCTTATTCGATGGAGTAGAATATATCGCCAGAGCAGGATGGACACGAGAGGGAAAATAGTACGTATTTTATATTTCCTTATATTTGCTCAGCTTTGGACTGGGCTGTTCTGAGCCCTGGTGGTTCATAGCAACCTCGGGTTGTAAAAGAGCCTAGAGAACTTCTAGTCCACCCTTAAACCCAGTGCGAGAATCCTCAGCCCAGCCCTGGCTGTCCAGTCTTTTCTTGAATACCTCCAGTCATTGAAGCCGCTTAACTTAGACTCTAGAAAGAGTGCAGGGAAGAGCAACAAAGATGATTAGGGGACTGGAGGCTAAAACATAGGAAGAATGGTTGCAGGAACTGGGTATGTCTAGTTTAATGAAGAGAAGGACTAGGGGAGACATGATAGCAGTCTTCCAATATCTCAGAGGTTGCCACAAAGAAGAGGGAGTCAAGCTATTCTCTAAAGCACCTGAGGGCAGGACAAGAAGCAATGGGTGGAAACTTATCAAGGAGAGAAGCAACTTAGAACTAAGGAGAAATTTCCTGACAGTTAGAACAATTAATAAGTAGAACAACTTGCCTGCAGAAGTTGTGGATGCTCCAACACTGGAAGTTTTTAAGAAGATGTTGGATAACCATTTGTCTGAAGTAGTGTAGGGTTTCCTGCCTGGGCAGGGGGTTGGACTAGAAGACCTCCAAGGTCCCTTCCAACTCTGTTATTCTATTCTATTCTAATTCCTACTTCAGGATTTTCCTTATCCATCAGTTCAGCTCCAGGAGATAAAACGTCAAGTAATACGTCAAGTATCTTTTAACTTTTGTATTCTCTGTTTTTTATTGTTGTGAGCCGCCCTGAGTCCTTCGGGAGAAGGGCGGCATATAAATCCAATCAATCAATCAATCAATCAATAATATTGTAATGGTGGTAGCACCATCTAAGCACTATTTTCTGATTTGCCCTCCTTTCTGCTTAGCGCGTGGGCCATCCTGCTTGATCGTTCTCAAACCCGGTTGCAGATTGCTTTGCTTCCCTCGGCCTTATTTATCCCTGTGGAAGACGATGCCATGGAGAGACAGAAATTAATCGATGTCGTGCCTGAGTCTGTTACCCCCTTGATTGTTTACGAAGAAACAACAGACATCTGGATAAACGTAAGGATGTATTCCTTCAGGGTAGGCCTGCTGAAGTTTTCTAGCTTTGGATGGAATTGTTGGGATGTCACGGGTCCAGAGAGACAGAGGGGAAAAACAATCAGCTAATGAAGTTTGACAAGAAAACGTTTTCAATAAACAGGCAGAATTGGTTAGATTAGGCAGAGCCCAGGAGCTGAATTGACAGAAATAGAAGGGACTTCTTGTGGCCTGTTGGCCGCTGGCCTCTCCAACAGCTGAATCAGATGAGGAGGCATGAGAGTCAGGATCAGCATCAAGGCAATCTGAGAGCTCCGTGGGGGAAGAGGAAATGTGTCACTGCGTTTTTGTATTTACCAGATGAGCTCATATTTTTGGACATTCAGATTTTCCGTAGCTTGCCAAGTTTCTTATCAGTAAGCTAACTACACATGTCCGTATTCCTTCACGTCTTCCTTTCTACTTTTCTTTGTTCTCCTGCCAAGAGGTCCGGCTGCAGAGAGGTGGCCGGCAGGGACGTTGCCAAAATGTAATTATTTAGATAGTGAGATGTTTTATTTTCTTTATAACAAATAAATGAGTTTTTTCTTAGAAAAATATATCTTCGGGGTTTATTTTCTTGCAAAAGTATGCTTCAAGGGAAAAGTCTCGATCCACGTCTCTAAATCAAGGTGCGATTACCCAAAAACAGAATGGGATTAATTAGCACCCTGACACCTGGTAGCAGGATGATGATTGATTTATGGCTTTTTCCTTGCTTGTTACTTTGACTGCTGTCAGAGAGAGAGACAGGGGCAGAGCCTGGGCTGTCCATCAGCCCTCAGATGGAGAGTCAACAGCCCCCAGGTCTGGAGGTGGCTGATGAGGAAAAGGAGGAACAGCTGGGTCCAGTGCCTGATATGCAGAAGGCAGAGGAGAGGAGAGCAGTGGAAATCTATGGGCCTGTCCTTGGGACAGAAGAGCCATTGCTGCTAGCAAAACCCCACCCTAGCTCTGGGGATAAAAGGCAGCAGAGTGGAGATGAATAGGTGTGGTAGACAACTATTCATCTCCCTGCCGGACAGACTTGTTAGCCAGCTGTGAGAGAGAGACTTTTTGCCGGGGCTGCTGGCGCTCCTTATAAAGGAATCATTGATCAATTACAGAGGGTTTGTTGTGTTTCGGGAGCTGGGTCAGAACAGGACTTTGTAAAGTCTACATTGTTAGTCAAGTAGAGAGAGCTACTTTGGTTTAGTGGTGAAAACACCAGGCTAAAAACTGGGAGATTGTGAGTTCTAGTCCCACTTTAGGGATGAAAGCCAGCTGGGTGACTTTGGGCCAATCATCAGGAGACTGTGAGTTCTAGTACTGCCTTGGGCATGAAAGCCAATTGGGTCGAATTTTGTTTGGATATACACTTTGTTTTATATGTAGTTAGCTGTTGAACAAATATAGATAATCCTCGATTTACCACCCTGGAATTATGGTTGTAAATTCTGCTAATTATTAAGCAGGTCCATACATGATAAGACTCAACTGTATAACTTTTTGCAGGAGGGGGTGTCATGAAGTCAATGTCAAAGTCATTAAGTGAATAGGTTGTCCACCCTGAGTGTTTTTTGCCAGAAACTGGAAGTAAAAACTGCTTTCCTTCAAGAAGCATAATAAATTGTGGTCATATCACTTTGGAAATGGTCGCAAATGTAGGCAGATTGCCTAGCACCTAAAATGGGATTCCTTGAAAACATTTGGGGGCTACAGGTCATCAGAACTTCAAACTCAGGTCATAAATGGCCTTGGGGAGGTCTGTCATAAATTTGAATAATCATTAAGTAGACAGTTATAAGTAAATGAGATTTCCTTTACCAGTTGACCAATCAAATCATACTAGGAAACGAAATAAAACAATATAAATCGTAAAGATACAAGCAACAGGGTATTGTTGCTTGTATCTTTACAATTTATATTGTTTTATTTCGTTTCCTAGTATGATTTGATTGCTTATTTAGTATCCTATGACTATCAAGTTGTATCTTATGATTCTTGATGAATGTATTTCTTTTTTATGTACACTGAGAGCTTATGCACCAAAGACAAATTCCTTGTGTGTCCAATCACACCTGGCCAATAAAGAAGTCTATTTTATTCTATAAAGGAGATTTTTTTTACCAGTTTGAACTAATCGTCCTAATTTTCCTAGTCTTTATTTTGACTTGCAGCTCTTCTTTATTTCCGCAGATCCATGATATCTTCCATGTTTTCCCCCAAACTCACAAGGACGTGATAGAATTTATCTTCGCTTCCGAGTGCAAAACGGGGTTCCGACATCTGTACAAAATCTCCACCGTTTTGAAAGAGAGCGAATACAGACGATCTTCAGGGGGACTTCCATCTCCAAGTAACCCGTTTTGCTTCTGTGTCTTAATAAATGGAAGAAGTTAGGTGTGCCTGCAGAAGGTCTCAAATTCAGTACAGGTAGTCCTCAACTTACAACCCCTTTGTTTACTGACCGTTCGAAGTTACAGTGGCACTGAAAAAAGTGAGTCATGTCACATGGTGACCCGCTTAACGGCTGCAATAACTTACACCCAAAATTCTGGGCTCGATAGTGGTTGTTAATGGAGGACTACCTGTAAGGCAGCAAGACTATATAGGTGTGAAGTGGAGGCCTGTCTCTTTTCTGAAGATAGAGCAATTTCCTTCGATGCCCTGTCTGGCTAACTGCCAAATGTTTTATCGGCATAAGAAGTAACTTGCACGGTGTTTCTAAAGATGCTTGTTTTCAAGAAACAACTGGACTTTCTGGTTTTTCTTGGAAGATGTTTCGCTTCTCATCCAAGAAGCTTCTTCAGCTCTGTTTGGATGGTGGGGAATGGAAGGATTGACCCTCCTTGCAGACTGCTGGTCATTTGCATCCTTTTAGAGCAGAGGTCCTCAAACTTGGCAGCTTTAAGACTTGTGGACTTCAACTCCCAGAATTCTCCAGCCAGCATAGATGGCTGGAGAATTCTGGGAGTTGAAGTCCACAAGTCTTAAAGCTGCCAAGATTGAGGGCCTCTGTTTCAGAGGGTCGTTGAAGCACTTGGAGGTTTATCTGTGTCCTCAGGGTCACCTGAGTGGTGCAAATGGGTGTGGAGCAGTGGTGGGTTCCTCCCGGTTCGGCCCGGTTCTCTCGAGCTGGTAGCGGTGACGATATGATGTCACCGAACTGGTTTTGCCCCCCGCCCTCCCGTGCCCCCCTACCCCCCGCGCCCCCCCACGTTATTCTTACCTTTTATTTGGCCCCACCCCCAATCTATTGCTGCCTTCTGAATCCCAGCTGATGGCTAGAGGGAAAAAAAACTGTTTAAACTCTTGCCGCGGGGCTTCAAAGGGCCGCCCTACAGCTGATCAGTGTTAAAAGAAAACAAATGAGTAGACCGGTGCCTGCAAAAATACATGAGTCGATCAGTGCCTGCAAAAAAGAAATGGGTAGACTGGTACAGCTCTGCAAGCAGTTAAAAGCCTGGTAGAGCAGTACCTCTGCTAAATCCTAAAGAATTGTCACATGACCAACAAGCCACGCCCACAAAATAAGCCACACCCACAGAACCGGTAGTAAAAAAAATTTAGAACCCACCCCTGGTGTGGAGACTTCTTGGAACTATTAAAAGGACTGTGTTGTAGATTGGAGATAGATGATGTCGTATCCCTCTGTTGAGAGAGGGCTGTTCAGTCTTAACATAGATGGCCTCCTTGACTCTTCTTTCAAACTTTTGAAAGAGTGCTAACAACCAGATGAACGCAAGGAGCATAAATCCTTCCATTCCCCACCATCCAAGTCAGACTGAAGAAGCTTCTTGGATGAGAAGTGAATCGTCTTCAAAGAAAAACCAGGAAGTCCAGGTGCCTCTTGAAAAAGCACCTTTGGCACAACCAGGACCTTGGATGACTGAGAATCTCCATAGACATTTGCATGGTCTTCCAATTTCTTCTACATTCAGAAATGATGTTGCTTAGTTGAGCTGGGGAAGAGCACCGATGGACTCCCGTAACTTTGATCTCCTTGTAGGTGACTTCTTATGTCTTGTCAAAGAAGAGCTGCCCCTCACCAGTGGAGAATGGGAAGTGCTTGGCCGGCACGGCTCAAACGTAAGCTGCTTGATCTCCCTTTTCTTCAGTTGATGAATTTTTGAAACTTTTTAGTGGTTTATCAAAATATAAAATACAAAGAGAAATTCAAAAAAGTAAAGGAAAACTAGGGAGGGGAGGTAGAGAAAAAGAAATGGTGTAAAGAGAAAGGCACTAACTTCCGACTCTCTTTAGCATAGTAGAAGATAACATTACAACCGCAACTTTTTACTTTTACACAACAGTATGTACAAGCCATTTCTTTAACAACAAATCTGTCTCATTGGCAAAAACAAAATCAAAGTTTCATTTATTTTTCATTGCAAGAGCCTGGTGGTGCAGTAGACTAAAGCACTGTTATTAACATCAGCTGCCTGCAATTACTGCAAGTTCAAATCTCACCAGGCTCAAGGTTGACTCAGCCTTCCATCCTTTCTAAGGTGGGTAAAATGAGGACCCAGATTGTGGGGGCAATAAGCTGACTTTGTATAAATATACGAAAGTATGAAGGCTATTGCTTAGCGCATTGTAAACCGCCCTGAGTCTCCGGAGAAGGGCAGCATATAAATCAAATAATAATAAAAAAAAATCCGGAAGCCATTTCAAAATAGAAATAAGGTTAGATCTCTTCTCTTCTTTGGATAAAAGAATCAATTTAATCATCTCTGCTTCTTTTTGTTGTGGGGAATAATATATGCTTCTGTTAACTCATTAATTTTTATTGTAATTCATATTAAGAGAAACCTCTATATTATTTCATTTTTTTTAAAAAAATGCCTAAAGGGAGAAAATGCAAATCTCTCCCTTGAGTTAATCCTCATGGAATAGATCTTTTCCTTCTCTTGTTTTCAAATTTAATCAATAGTATTTTACAAAGTGGAGAATGGGAAGTGCTTGGCCGACACAGCTCAAACGTAAGCTGTTTGGTCTCCCTTTTCTTCAATTCATAACATTCAACTGGACTTTTAAACCATTCATCGTTTGCATGAGATTATTGTGGTATCTTACGTGTCCCATAGCCACATGGCTGTTAGATATATCTGGTTTTTTGCCAGGCGCAAAACCCAAATTCCAGGCTCAATAGTGGTCATTTAGTGAGGACTTCCTGAATAGCAGCTATACCCTTCTTGGTTTCCTGTGTGAAGGCCTGTCTCTTTTGGAGCAATTTAACTGATTTATTGCTAAACTTTTTGCAAAGGAACAGGCAGCATTCGGTTAGAGCTAGGTAAGGTTCAGTGGTGATCCCGGGAGGGCTGGACTTAATTTGTTTATGGATACGTAATGATTCTAGATAGGGATGTGGTGGCTCAGTGGCTAAGACGCTGAGTTTGTCGATCAAAAGGTCGTCAGTTCAGTAGTTCGAATCCCTAGTGCTGTGTAATGGGGTGAGCAGCTCCCGTGACTTGTCCCAGCTTCTGCCAACCTAGCAGTTCGAAAGCACGTAAAAAATGCAAGTAGAAAAATAGGGACCACCTTTGGTGGGAAGGGAACAGCATTCCGTGCGCCTCTGGCGTATAGTCATGCCAGCCACATGACCACGGAGACGTCTTCGGACAGCGCTGGCTCTTCGGCTTTGAAACGGAGATGAGCACCGCCCCCTAGAGTCAGGAATGACTAGCACATTTGTGCGAGGGGAACCTTTACCTTTTTAATGATTCTAGGCTGATCCCTCTTTTTACCTCTCTCCCTGGCTCTGTCAGTCCTTCTACAGGTTTTTTGAAATAAAGATGGGACCATATGGATCACCAACCAGCCCTCATGAATTTAGACAGTCCAGTCCATTCTCTCACCCTAGCTGTGTTCACCCATGCGCCCCACCAGCTCACTGACAAACCTCATAGTAGCCTCCTTTGTACAAGGAGCTAAGCTCAGTTTCAATGCTGGGTTTTGGTTTTCAATTTCGTTTGTTAAATATGTTGTGGTGGCTCCGGCTTAACAGAATAACAGAGTTGGAAGAGACAGTAACAGTAACAGAGTTGGAAGGGACTTTGGAGGTCATCTAATCCAACCCCCTACTCACGCAGGAGACCTGTACTAGGGATTTGAACCACCGAACTGCCGACCTTTCTGATCAACAAGCTCAGTGTCTTAGCCACTGAGCCACCTAATCTCCCTGGAGGTCTTTTTTTTTTTCCCCAAAGTACCAGAAGGCAAGACAAGAAGCGATGGATAGAAACTAATCAAGGAGGGAAGCAACTAAGGAGAAATTTATTTCCTGACAGAACAATTAACCATGTTCTGTCCCCGTCTCACACACGCACACAAACAGACAGCCAGGGATTAAATAAAACTGGCAGACAACAAATTCTTTCGATAAGAGGATTGGCAGCAACCCAGTAGCTGCTTGCCAAGAACTTTACTCATAAAGGGAGGGGTTGTTCCTTCGTCAGATAAACCCAAACAAGATACACACAGTTCAAGAATTGTCAAGTCCAGTCCGTATTAAATCCAAGGCAGTTAACGTTCTTTCCAAAGATACAATGTGACTCGCTAGTAGTTTAGTTTTGTCCATCACAGAGTCTGAATGGCCACCTCACCCCCTTTTATCTCCTGTGGGGTGTGGTCCAGTGACTCATCTTAATCTCTGGCACGCCTCCTTTTCTGCTGCGTGCGCTTGTCTCTCCGACGCTGGCGTGGATCCAGCCAAGACTTATCTCCGTCACTGTTCGACTGCGAGGAGATACCTGGCTCCTGGCCAATCTCTTCTCCTTCGGGAGACACCTGAGACATTGCCAGAGAGGAGGGACCTGGAGAGGGAGGCCTGGCCAACTCCTCTCCTTCATGTTCGGAGCCTTCTCCCTCCGATAAGTTGGCCTCAGGGGTCGGAATCACAACAAACCAGTGGAACCGCTTGCCTTCAGAAATTTGTGGGTGCTCCATCACTGGGGGCTTTTAAGAAGAGACTGGACAATCACTTGTCTGGAGTGGTATAGGATCTCCTGTTTGAGCAGGGGGTTAGACTAGAAGACCTCCAAGGTCCCTTCCAACTCATTATTCCTTCCTTCCTTCCTTCCTTCCTTCCTTCCTTCCTTCCTTCCTTCCCTCCCTCCCTCCCTCCCTCCCTCCCTCCCTTCCTATCACCCTACAGGTGAACTCTAGGATGCTCATTTCCAAACAGTATTTTAATAGGTCATCCAGTCCAACCCCCTGATCAAGCAGGAGACCCTATTCCAGTGATGGGTTGCCCCCGGTTTAGACCAGTTCGCATGAACCGGTAGTAAAACCGGCAGGAGGCTCCGCCCACTGACCCAGATGTCATCAGGAAGCTTCTGCGCATGCGCGCGGTCCCATTGCAAAGATAAGTAGAACCCACCCCCTGCCCTATACCATTTCAGACAAAAATGGCTTCGGAGAGTCATGTGGAGGATTTTGTAGCACTAGGTCAGGGGTTTCCAATCTTGGCAACTTTAAGCCTGGAGGACTTCAACTCCCAGAGTTGAAATCTGCCAGGCTTAAAGTTGTGAGGGTTGGAGACCCCCCTGCAATAGGTAATTCTGCATTAACTTCCTTGTCAGACAGTAAAGCTAAAACTGGCATGGCTGCTTGGGTAGAAATGTGGGTCAATTCTGTTTTTTGCTTCTGTTTTTGAATCAGATCCGGGTAGATGAAGTTAACCAACTGGTATATTTTGAAGGTACAAGAGATTCTCCCTTGGAACACCACTTATACGTCGTTAGCTACGAGAACCCCGGAGAAATTCAGCGGCTGACCGAAAACGGTTTCTCACATGCCTGCTATGTTAGTCAGGTACACTAATCTAACCTACCATCTAACCATCATGAAAAGGGCCGGTCTACAAGGGAAGCCAGTTATCTTCTTGAGAAGGTCCTGTCCTGACCATAAATTTGGTACAGGTAGTTCTCGACTCGTTTAGTGACTATTTGAAGTTACAACAGCATTGAAAAAAGTAATTTATGGCCATCTTTCACACTTACGACCATTGTAGCACCTATGACCTTATGACCTATGACCTTATGACCTATGACCTTACGACCTATTATCAAAATTCAGATGCTTGGCATCTGTGATCCCCTTTTGTGACCTTCTAATGACCAAAGTCAGTGGGGAAGCCAAGTTCACTTAACAACCATGTTACTAACTTAACAACGGCAGTGATTCGTTGAACAACGGTGGCAATAAGGGTCATAAAATGGGTCAAAATTCACTTAACAACAGTCTTGCTTAGCAACACAAAAGTTGGACTCAGTTGTGGCCATAAGTCAAGGACTACCCATAGAAGAAACATTGCACCAAGCAGCAATATTCTTTTAGTTTAGCCAGATGTGTGAACTTAGCTGTTGTGAGTTTGTCCCCCAAGTTCTACGGTGTTTGGTGTGTACCAAGTCAGTTATCGGAGCATGATGTTCAGATTCAGTCTGGAGTTGGGTTGATATTTGTGGAAGTAAGCAAGATCAACATCCATGTGGAGATCCCAGTTATAATGCATTGTTTATACACCATAGTAGCTAGGGTCTACAACCCACAAAGTCAAAAGTAAGAAAATTGATAGAGCTTAATGTCGACTTTATTGTCACTTTGAATGTAGACTAATGACATACATTAAAATGAAACTTCATTGCATGCAACTGTCAAAAGGGTCACCACCTCCAATATATAGTACATTTGTTGTTGTTAGTTGCGAAGTCGTGTCCAACCCATCGCGACCCCCTGAACAACATTCCTCCAAGTCTTCCTGTCCTCTACCATCCTCTGGAGTCCATTTAAGCTCACGCCGACTGCTTCAGTGACTCCATCCAGCCACCTCGTTCTCTGCCGTCCCCTTCTTCTTTTGCCCTCCATCGTTCCCAGCATTCGGCTCTTCTCCAGGGAGTCCTCCTTTCTCATTAGGTGGCCAAAGCATTTGAGTTTCATCTTCAGGATCTGGCCTCCTAAAGAGCAGTCAGGGTTGATCTCCTCTAGGACTGACCGGTTGGATCGCCTTGCAGTCCAAGGGACTCGCAGGAGTCTTCTCCAGCACCAGAGTTCAAAGGCCTCAATTTTTTGGCTCAAACATGACTAAATAAATGAATGAATACAAAATTATGCATATACCCACATATATTATACGACACAGAGAAACAACACAGTCTATTTTGGATGTATACATGTAACATGGTGAGAAAAACAAATCTTGCGAGTTTACCAGACGGATGGCACAGGGAACAAAGCGGTTACAGAATCAGGTAATCCTGGTAGAAATATTTCAAAACCTTCTCCCAGAGGGGAGCAATAGAAAAGACTGTGAATATGTGGGGTCCCTAACAATGCTTTGAGCTCTAAGCACATAGTGCTTATAAGCAGCATCCTGAATAAAAGGAAGCGAGCTTCCTATAATCTTCTCTGCTGTCCTCACCACTCTCTGTATGGACTTTCTATCTCAAGTTCTGCTGCCACCAAACCAAACAGTGATGCAGTTTGTTAAAACGCTCTCAATCGTGCCTCTGTAAAAAGTGGCCAGGCCAGAAGGAGAAAGATGTGCTCTCTACATCCAACGCAGGAAATGCAGACGCTGGTTTGCACGATAGCTTTGCAGGAAGTTAGATTTGACCTTTAACAACCTTCTTCAATTTGCCAGCATCTCCATTTGCGTTGGGGACTGGAATTCCCTTCATTTGAAGCCGGTGGCGGGATTTCTAAGTCCGTGTTTCTTAGTCTTGGCAACTTGAAAATGTGTGGACTTCAACTCCCAGAATTCTCTAGCCAGCTTTCTGGGAGTCAGAAACCACTACATCTGAGACCCTCCACCTTGCTGTTGGACATTCTCTTCTTCTCTTCCCTTCTGTCCATCTTTCCCAGCTTTTTAGAGCCTTTTCCAGAGAGCTGGGTCTTCACACATGTCCATGCTGGCTGGGGAATTCTGGGAGCTGAAGTCAACACATCTTCAAGTTGCCATGGTTGAGAAACACTGTCCTTCATGATAGAACAAATCTCCAACACTTGGTTGGAGAATTGCTCTATTGTGAAGAAACGGAGGTCCAGCTGTATAGTAGAGTTGACCTTGTCCTTGAGGAAGAGCGAAGAAGGAACTGGAATGCAAGCCAACATTGGTTTAGGGGTCTGGTATGATTTCTCTTTCTTTTTGCAGCACTGCGACATGGTTATATGTAAATTCAGTAACCAGAAATGCCCCCACCAAGTCTCCCTCTACAAACTGACTGGACTGGAAGAGGGGATTGCTCAAAGGGGCAAGGACTTCTGGGCCACCATTTTGCATTCTTCAGGTAGGCGATTTTCTCTTGGAGGCCAGGCATGTTTCTGATCTAGGAGGAATGCTCAGGGTGCTGTGGAGCTTGCAATGTTCAGGGGCAATCTAGTTTTATGAAGGAGGGAGGGAGGGAGGGAGGGAGGAAGGAAGGAAGGAAGGAAGGAAGGAAGGAAGGAAGGAAGGAAGGAAGGAAGGAAGGAAGGAAGGAAAAAAAATTATTTTCTGCCAAAGACATAAACTTCTGGCTTCTATTGTAGGAAATTGGGCACTTGAAAAAAAGGGAATGGAACGGGAATGGAATGGACGGGAAGGAAAGGAAAGGAAAGAAGGGAGCATGGGAAGGAAAGGGAGGAAGGAAAGAATGAAGAAAAGGAAAGAAGGAATTTATTTTTTAGTGGAAAACATTTCCGGATCTCCTGAAACTGCAGAAATGGGCATGGAGACCTAATTCAGGTGCCTCGTTTGTCCTATGTGCTATATTTCAGCCTTTTGAAGCCAGTTTGTTCCCAATTTAAATCTGACTTCTTGCAGATAGGTTTGGGATATTACATCAACAAGAAAGCTGCTCAAAATCCAACATCAGCCCCCCCCTCTCTCTCCCTCCCTCCCTCCCTCCCTCCCTCCCTCTCTCTCTCTCTCTCTCTCTCTCCTGTTTCCCTCCTTGACCATGCCTTTCTCTGCTTGCTGCAGGATCTCTCCCAGATTACGTCCCACCGGAGATCTTCTCTTTTGAGAGCTCCTCGGGGTTTGTGCTTTATGGGATGATGTACAAGCCCCATGATTTACAACCTGGGAAGAAATACCCCACGGTGCTTTTCATCTATGGGGGCCCACAGGTGAGCTTTCATTTTTGTATTTCAGCCACATTTTTTGGGGGGAAAAAACATCAGTCTGTATTGAGTAGATCTGATTGCTGGTGCCCAGAAGGAGCTCAGTTTGGAACTTGCAGGAATAATCTGTATTTACAGGAAGTGTTTCTCTCCCATAAATGATTTGGTATTTTAGAATTGAGAACTGTACTTGAAAGGCCAAATGGAAACCACTAGAGCACAGGCAGTCCTTGATTTACGACCATAGTTGAGCCCAAAATTTTCGTTGCAAAGCAGGACAGTTGTTCACAGAGTTTTGCTCCATTTTATGACCTTCCTTGCCACCGTTGTTAAGTGAGCCGCTGCAGTTGTTTATTTTATTTTATTTATTTTTATTATTCATATTTCTATGCCGCCCACTCTCCGAGGACTCTGGGCGGCTTACACCAAAGACAGTATACCAAATAGCATATTGCCCCCAACAATCTGGGTCCTCATTTTATTCACCTCGGAAGGATGGAAGGCTGAGTCAACCTTGAGCCGGTGAGATTTGATCCGCTGATCTGCTGAACTAGCAGTCAGCTGAAGTAGCTGCAGTACTGCACTCTAACCACTGCGCCACCTCGGCTCTTTTAACACTTACTAAGTGAACCTGGCTGTCCTATTGACTTTGGTTGTCAGAAGGTCCCCAAAAGTGGATCACGTGACCCTGAAACTGTCTTAAGTACATGCCAGTTGCCAAGCCTCCAAATTTTGATCCTGTGACTATGGAGATGCTGCAACGGTTGTTAAGTGTGAAAAATGGTCATATTTTTGAATGCCACTGTAAGTTGAAAACAAAAGGTTGTACCTCTGACAGGACTACCTGTGACAGAAATCATAATCATGATAAGATGATGGAGGTCATCATCTCATTTACTTAAGTTCTCCGGAACTAAATTTACAGATGCCACTTTGGACCCAGATGAAAGATAACAAAATCTATTCCTTTTTTTTAAAATAGTTTTTATTCAACATTTTTAACTTTTAAAATCACAATTACACTATTACAGCTTTCCGTTATTGAAATTTTTTTTTAATTTCAACTGATCTACAGGCCTATTGTTTTATACATGTACATTCTTATTTCATAGTTACTTATCTTTATACTATATGCAATATTTACATGTCTGCTGCACTCTAAAATATATGTTTTATCCGTTTATTATCTATTTCTGTACATTCACTATACATTAATTTTAGACTTCTTTTCAAGCCAGTTATACCACTTGTTCAGTGGTAGGGTTCAAAAATTTTTACTACCGGTTTTATGGGTGTGGCTTGGTGGGCGTGACATGGCTTGGTGGGCGTGGCTTGGTGGGCGTGGCAGGGAAAGGATACTGTAAAATCTCCATTCCCTCCCGATCAGCTGGGACTTGGGAGGCAGAGTATAGATGGGGGCGGGGCCGGTCAGAATTTTTACTACCCGTTCTCAGAACTACTCAAAATTTCCACTACCAGTTCTCCAGAACTGGTCAGAACCTGCTGAAACCCACCTCTGCACCTCATAATACACCGTTTTTTCTCTGTCCCTTAATTCCATCGTTAATGTGTCCATTTCTGTGTATTCTAGCACCTTTTTTTATAATCATTGTGTTTGATGGAGTGTTTTCTTGCTCCCAATTTTGGGCGAATGTGATTCTGGCTGTGGTAATTATATGGAGCATGATATATTGAATTTCTTTGCTTATATTACCTTTTATTATACCCAAAAGGAATAACTCTGGCTTCATATCAATTTTTTGTTAAAACAATTTCCTCCAACCATTTTTTAATTTTTGTCCAATAATCCCTGGCTTTGGGACATGTCCACCACATGTGGTGAACAAAATCTATTCTTGACGTCAAGTCGAGCACATAGAGATGGGGGAAACTGTGTTTGGTTTATTTTTCACCACCATGAATGCATACTATCCATTTCAGGCAGGGGTGGGTTCTACTTACCTTTACTACCGGTTCGCAGTGGGGCTGCACGCACACTCTTCTGCGCATGCGCAGAAGCGTTTTGGTAACATCAGGGTCGGTGGGCGGGACCTCCTGCTGGTTTTACTACCGGTTCTATAGAACCGGTGCGAACTGGGGGCAACCCTTCACTGATTTCAGGAAGAAAAAAACATTCTGATTGGATATTAACTGTGGATTTACTGAGCATGTCATAATTTACGTGAATATTTGAATATTTCCTAGGTTCTTGGCTGGAATCTGAATTTCCAAAATACACCAGTCCAAGATGTGATTATTTGTGTCTTTTATTGTTCGTTGATGAATAAAAACCAACATCACTAACAAGGATGATGACGCTTCGATGCCTTCTTACAGGTGCAGCTTGTAAACAACGCCTTTAAAGGGGTCAAATATTTCCGGCTGAACACGCTGGCTTCCCTGGGGTACGTGGTCGTGGTGCTGGACAACCGAGGTTCCTGCCACCGGGGCCTGGCCTTTGAAGGCACCTTCAAATATAAGATGGTAAATTGTCTCATGAATGGAGGTAGCAAATGTTGAAAGGGACCAATGGTCCTTTCATAGGGTTTTTGAGCATAACATTCTCAGAGACTCTTCCCATCCTGCTTACAATCTTTTTGGACTGTTGCCTTCTGTCAGAAGATACAGGGCAATGAAAACTCGGACCACATGTCCTCTGAATAGTTTTTATCCCAGAGCTACCAGCACCTTGAAGTACCAGCTTCAAGGTGCTGGTACTTACCTATAAAGCCCTTCATGGCATGGGCCGAGGTACTTGAAACCACCTCCTACCAGCCTCCCACTGCCCAGTGTGCTCACATAGGACTGCCCTCCTCCGGGTGTCATCGGCCAGACAATGTCGGCTGGCGGCCCCCAGGATGAGGGCGTTCTCTGTGGTCGCACCGACCCTCTGGAATGGGTTACCCACCGGGCTCCGGACGGCCCCCGACCTCTGCACTTTCCGCGCTGACCTGAAGACATGGCTTTTTCAGCAAATTCCCTGATCTGCCGCGAGGTTTTAATTGTCTGGGGATTTTAAATTGGCTTGTTTTAGCACTATTTTATTGTTATGTTGTTTCTATTCTGTGAGCCGCCCCGAGTCCTACGGGAGAAGGGCGGCATATAAATTTGATAAAATAAATAAATAATGGCACTCAGTCATGAACTAAAGGGCCACCATCAGTGAGCTGTTGGACAGCATTATTTGGTCTCTTTGTGTAGATGTTTTGGTGGTTTAGGAGTGGGGAATTGTGGTGGGTGGGGGTGTGTTTAGGGATTGTTATGTGTGTTGGACCTGGTCTTTGGGTGTTAAGTGAATCTCATTGTATGGGTATACTGTGTATACACCTACAATGACAATAAAGTTATTTATTTATTTATTTATTTATTTATTATTATTATTTTGTAATTTTGGGTGTCCTCTGGACCAGTGTCAGGCCTGGAAGCCATCTTTGGTGTTAGGCCTTCAGACCAGTGATGGGTTTCAAAATTTTTTACTACCGGTTCTGTGGGTGTGGCTTGGTGGGTGTGGCATGGCTTGGTGGCCGTGGCTTGGTGGGCGTGGCAGGGGAAGGATACTATAAAATCTCCATTCCCACCCCAATCAGCTGGGACTCGGAAGGCAGAGAATAGATGGGGGCAGGGCCAGTCAGAATTTTTACTACCGGTTTTCCGAACTACTCAAAATTTCCGCTACCGGTTCTGCAGAACTGGTCAGAACCTGCTGAAACCCACCTCTGCTTCAGACCTGCCACGTTTACTACTGTGGGGAACTGGGAAGGGGGATTGTATATATAGTCATAATAACATTCCTTTCTCAGAGAGTCAAGGACAACTTGCCCTGCACCTGGAGGGCTGTGACTGGGAGACATCTCCAGTTGGGACGATGTTTGATTGGACCATGTGATGGGCATGTTGGTGCTGGGACAGGGACTTGAACTTTTCTTTGGGTGGGGAAAACCTGGAAACTTTCAGATTTGAGTTTTCCCAGATGTGCCAATATGACATCTCTAATAAAATGGAACTTTGAGGAACTTCAAGCCTTGGAATTTTCTTTCGTTGGCAGTGTTACTTGGAACTTTGACAACCAAACTTAGTCAGACTGCTGACTAAGGAATTCTGGGAGTTGAAGTCCTACCTGTTCTCTGTTTCTCTGTTCTCATTCTCAGTTGGGGGAAGAGCAGAGCCCTCAAAAGTGACGGTAAACATTAACAGTGAATAAACATACAAGCCAGAGCGAAGTTCTTTTTAGCTGGGAATGTGAAGAGAGAAGCTTGAGTTCAGTATCCTTTCCATACATGAGTAAGAATACCAACCTCATCCTGAAAGCAGGACAAGAAGCAACGGATGGAAATTGATCAAGGAGAGATCCAACCTAGAACTGAGGAGAAATATCCTATCAGTGGGAACAATTAAACAGTGGAACAGCTTGCCTTCAGAAGTAGCAGTCTTCCAATATTTGAGGGGCTGTCCCAGAGAGAAAGGGGTCAACCTATTTTCCAAAGCAGCTCAAGACTGGGCAAGAAACAATGGATGGAAACTGATCAAGGATAGATTTTTCTGACAGTGAGAACAATCAACTAGTGGAACAGAAGTTGCCTTCGGATGTTGTGGGAGCTTCATCACTGGAAGCTTTCAAGAAGAGACTGGACTGCCATCAGTCAGAAATGGTGTAGTAGGGTCTCCTGCTTGGGCCGGGGGTTGGACTAGATGACCTAACAAGGTTCCTTTCAACTCTGTTAATCTATTCTATATTTAAATGTTGTGGATGCTCCATCACTGGAGGCTTTTAAGAAGAGACAGGACAGCTATTTGTCCAGAATTGTATAAAGTCTCCTGTTTGAGCAGGGGGTTGGACTAGAAAACCTCCAAGGCAGTGGTGAAATGTAAAATTTGTTACTATCGGTTCTGTGGGCATGGCTTGAGGGGGGGGGGTTAATATGATTGAGTGGGCGTGACCAACTTTTTTTTTTTTTACTTTTAAAACCATTTTTTCTACAATTTGTAAAAAAATGCTTTTAAAGCTTCTGATGATCCCAGCTGACTTGCCTGATCGGCAGAGGCTTTTTTCCCTTTTAAAAACATTTTTTTCTATAACCTCTTTGACTGAAGAGGTTGCAGAAAAAAATGCTTTGAAAAGTCTCTGACGATCCCAGCTGAGCCGCATGATCATCAGAGGCTTTTTTTTTTTACTTTTAAAAGCAATTTTCGGCCAAAGAGGTTGTAGAAAAAAAAAGCCTCTGATGATTGCGCGGCTCAGCTGGGCAATGGGGGGGCAGGGATTTTTGCTACCGGTTCTCCAAACCACCCGCCTCCATCGCTAACGGATCGGGCAATCCGGTCTGAACTGGGAGCATTTCACCCCTGCTCCAAGGTCCCTTCTAATTCTGTTATTCTCTAATTTATACACTTGGTGATATTTTTCCCCCATGCCTGTTTTTTTTTCTCTTCCAACAGGGACAAATTGAAATCGTTGACCAAGTGGAGGGCTTACAGTATTTGGCTTCCCGATACGAGTTCATCGATTTAGACCGGGTTGGCATTCATGGCTGGTCGTACGGTGGATTTCTTTCCCTGGTGGCCTTGCTGCAGAGGCCAGAGATCTTCAAGGTTGGTTCCCCTGCCACGGCCCATTCCCTTCCTCTGGGCATGTGTGATGTGGATGTGTAGAAGGCCCAGGAGCGGTATTCCTGTACTTGAGGGGCTGCCACAAAGAAGAGGGGGTCAAATTATTATCCAAAGCACCAGAAAGCAAGACACAGCAGTGAAATCTGGCCGGATCTATCCGGCTTGCACAAGCCGGTAGGGCCGGCGACAGGAGGCTCCGCCCATCCGTCAGGACATCATCATCAGTAGTGGGTTTCAATTCCCGGCGCTAACGGGAGAGTGCGCGCGGTGCACAGTGCTTCTGCACATGTGCAGAAGGTTCTGTTCATGCGCAGAGCGTTGTTTTTTATTAAAGTTTTTTATTTATAATACAAATTAAAAACAATGGACATAGTGTGACATCTCCAGCTGAAACATTTTTATCAAATTTCGTCACATAAATAATACACTTATTTACACTAATGATCACATTTCAAATACGCATATTCCTTCATCCATATAAATTATTTCGATATCTAATTCAGTCGTATCTATCATAACAAATTAGCATAAAAACTTCCAAACATTTTACTCGTCAGTGGTCCTATATCCCAGCATTTCTCCTCCTTTCCAACCAATAATAAAATTTGTTCCAGATTTCATAATACTCTGATTCATTCTTATCTTTAAGTTCCAAGGTCAGTCTGTCCATTTCCACGCAAATTAATATTTTAGCTAACACTTCTTCTTCTGTGGGGGTCTCTTTGTTTTTTCCATTTTTGTGCAAAAGCCAATCTTGCTGCTGTTAGAATGTGTAACGTTAGGTAAATTGTGCTCTTGTTGTATTTACCCTCACTAATACCCAGCAAAAAGCATTCTGGTTTTGCTTCTATATTTTGCATTAGTATTTCCCAGGAGTGAAATGCTCCCGGTTCGGACCGGATCGCCCGATCCGGTAGCGATGGAGGTGGGTGGTTCGGAGAACCCGTAGCAAAAATCCCTGCCCCCCCCCCTCCATACCCAGCTGAGCCATGGCACAATCATCAGAGGCTTTTTTTAATTTTTAAAAGCATTTTTTCTACAATTCTTTGGCCAAAAAATTGCTTTTAAAGGTTAAAAAAAAAAGCCTCTGATGATCGCGCGGCTCAGCTGGGATCCTCAAAGGCTTTTAAAAGCATTTTTTCTACAACCTCTTCTTTTAAATGCCTCTGACGATCAGGCAACTCAGCTTGGATCGGCAGAAGCATTTAAAAGAAAAAAAACCTCTGCTGATCAGGCAACTCAGCTTGGATCATCAGAGGCATTTAAAAGAAAAAAAGCCTCTGCTGATCAGGCAACTCATAACAATAAAATTGGTGGGAAACAGTCTTGGAGAAAGCAGCTTTTCAGATAAAGTTGTTTATACCTTTTTCCTTCCATTATAAAAGGAATATCTTATATCCCACCCTGCAGCAAAACTGTATTAAAATAATACTATCATCGTGACCTATATTGTATCTGATCAAAGGCAATGACATTTGGCAAGAGACTTCAACATCTAAGCGGAACTGAAATTTGCTCCATCAATGAGGCCATTTCTATCCCAGCCCCCATTGAAGACACAGTGCCTGATTGTCAATGGGATGATTTACTAGCACATTCAACATCAAAGAGTCTTCGTTGTTGTTTCATCTGAATTTTGTTAATCTTTTACGAAAGCCTTGATGGTGAGGTTTAAAGTTGCAAACTGTTGCCTCTCCCCGCAGTAGTGAGAAGATCAGACAAAATAAGTTGATTTCCCACTAGAAAAAGCATATTACTCCTCTTTTAATTGTCTTTCCAGAGTCTGTGCTTATATCGGTACTCCTTGACATATGACCACAATTGAGCCCAACATTTCTCTTGATAAGCAAAACAGTTATTAAGTGAATTTTTCTCCATTGCAACCTTTCTTGACACAGTTGTTAAGTGTTGTGGCCCATCAGCGGCCTGTGCGGATTGTAGCTGATTCTGACAGCGAAGAGGCTGGTGTGGTGTTGCACCAGCAGCCTATGCAGCTGGCATCCGAGTCAGACAATGAGGAGGCTGGAGAAGATGTGGTGCCAAAGGCAGGGATTCAGCCAGGGCCTTCAGAACCTCCAGAAGCTCCTTTAAGAGAGGAGGACGAAGAGGAGGAGCCTCTTCTCGATGCATGGGTGTGCAGAGCTGCCAAAAGGCAGGAGTGGCTCCTCAGGAGGAGGTCTCCTCGAGAGTAAGGCTTGGGGCTAATTGGCCACTCCCTTAGCCTATTTAAGGAGGGACGCCGACTGAAGCAAGTTGTAGGGAACAACTTTAGTTCATTCTCCTTTACGTCTGGATTCTCTGCAAAATTGCTTCTGGGATTTCTGCCAACCTTAGTAAGATTGTGATTACTTTATTTTTGGTTTCTTGTAGGCTGTTAAGAAAGTTTATTAACAGCCTTTGTTTTGGAAGAAACTGAGTTATTTTAGTAAATTTAAGTTTGATACAGACTTTATGTGTGCTGTGTTCTTTGGGGTCCGTAGCTGGGGCAGAATTATTATTTATTTATTTATTATTTATTTATTTATTTATTTATTTATTTATTTATTTATTTATTTATTTATTTATTTATTTATTTATTTTTATTTATTTATTTATTTATTTATTTATTTATTTATTTATTTATTTATTTATTTATTTATTTATTTATTTGATTTATATGCCGCCCTTCTCTGGAGATTCAGGGCGGCTTACAATGCGTTAAGCAATAGCCTTCATACTTTTGTATATTTTTACAAAGTCAGCTTATTGCCCCCATGAACTGGGTCCTCAATTTACCTACCTTAGAAAGGGTGGAAGGCTGAGTCAATCTTGAGCCTGGCAAGATTCGAACTTTCTAATTGCAGACAGCTGGAGTTAAATTACAATGCATTAGTCTGCTGAGCTATCCAGGCTCCTTTAATGGGAACTTTCCACAATGGGATGTTACAATGTGAGTGTGGTGGATTATGATGTTACTTCTTGAAGCTAATTTAAAATGGGTGTTTAGTGATGGGTAAACAACTTGAGAGTCACACATCAATGGTGCGATGGACTACAGTAAGTTTCCAGGAAGGAGAGAACACAATGCAACGAGGTGTATGGGACAAGAAACATCATAGTCCTAGAGCTGGATCATGGGAAGAGGAAGAGATTTAGGATAGTCACTCCTTAGAATCTCCCAGGGTATATCTACTAGGATGAGAGTACTAAAGGTTTAGTCCATCAAGATTCTATCTATAGGGTATAAACAAATAAAGAACTAAACTTCAGCTTGGTTATATTATGTCGTTCTTGGTCTAAGGTTGACAAATGATGTTATTATGAAAACCTTTTGCTAAAAATGTATGTGTGAGGGCTACTTTTACACCACATTGCTCAGCAGCAAATAGATTATAGTTAAATAATCCCATACAATAAAAAAATCAGATCCCATATAATAAACAATCAGATAAAATAGAAAAATGTGGGTTAGACAGCATCACCACCAGATGGATTCGTAACTGGCTGACCAACCGCATTCAACGTGTAGTCCTCAATGGAACTGCATCTACATGGAGGGAAGTATGCAAGGCTCTATTTTAGGCCCAGTACTCTTCAACATCCGTTCAATGATCCGTTCAAGGGGATAGATGGGGAAATCATCCAATTTGCAGATGACACCAAGCTGGCAGGAATAGCCAACACTCCAGAAGATAGGCTTAAGATAGAGATGGATCTTGACAGACTTGTCATTAGGCACTATCTAACAAAATGAAATTCAATGGTGAAAAAAAGTAAGATTCTACATTTAGGCAAGAAAAACAAAATGCACAGGTACCATATATGTGGTACCTTGCTCAATAGTAGTAAAGGTTAGAGGGATCTTGGAGTTCTAGCGGACAACCATTTAAATATGAGCCAGCAGTGTGCAGCGGCTGCCAAAAAAGCCAACACAGTTCTAGGCTGCATAAACAGAGGGATAGGATCAAGATTACGTGAAGTGTTAATACCAATTTATAATGATAAGGCCACATTTGGAATACTGCATCCAGTTTTGGTTGCTATGATGTAAAAAAGATGTTGAGACTCTAAAAAATGCACAGAGAAGAGCAACAAAGATGATTAAGGGACTGGAGGCTAAAACATATAAATGTCGGTTGCTGGAATTGGGTATGTCCAGTTTGATGAAAAGAAGGACTAGGGGGTGATATGATAGCAGTGTTCCAAGATCTCAGGATTTGCCACAAAAAAAGAGGGAGTTAAGCTATTCTCCAAAGCACCTGAGGGAAAGACAAGAAGCAATGGGTGGAAACTAATCAAGGAGAGACGCAACCTAGAACGAAGAAGAAATTTCCTGACAGTTAGAACAAATTAATCAGTGGAACAACTTGTCTCCAGAAGTTATAAATGCTCCAACACTGAAAGTTTTTAAGAAGAGATTGGACAACCATTTGTCAGATCTCCTGGCCTCCACCTTCATGTTGTGGTGCTGTCTTTTGATTCACCTATTCAAAGTAAGTTTTGAAACAGTTTAGGTGCTGCTACAATTATTGCAGAATTTTCTTGCTAACGTTACTACAAAGAGAGGTCCTTGGTGCTCTCTCAGCTTGATTATTTTCTTGCAGACATTTCATTACATTTCATTAACCAAACTAGATAACATCATCAGTTGATCAGAACATTCCTGCTCTGAACTCAGATTTGTTTTTATCTGACCATTGTTGTAGTTGAGGCTCTTCTTCCTGTTTCTCAAGGTTATCCTCACAGTCCATCACACAGAGGTTAATTGTACAACATCTGGCTGAGCAGTATCCAAATAATGAGAAACCAACTCTTTATGAAATTTCAAAGTAATTTTTGACTCCTTATATAAAGACAGGCTTTTGATAAAGTTAGAGGTTTAATTAATTGTTTGATGTTCCTTATCATTGGCAAGCTACACAATAACATCTCCCTGAAGGTAAGGTGAAACTCAGACTGCTGTCTGATATGGTTCTACATTATCATAGAGAATTGTGAAGCAGGAATTCATTCTCTTCTTCTCTGTCATCTTTTCTAATTACTATATAAACTCATTGCTAAAACGCTTTGAGTAAATGCCACTTTTCACCTCCTTAATATTGCTGTTGGGCATAATCCTAGATGCTGATGACACTTTGTCAACTTGGATACTCAGAGGAAAGAAGAGAACCTTTTAGGCTATAAACAGCCATCGACAACCAAGAACATTTGAGTATCAACTTGAACAGGACCAAAGTTACGAAGTTTGCCAAAAGGCCTGTCTCTCACAAATGACAGATCTGTAAGAATGCAATTGAACAAGTGAAAAAAATGGAATTATCTGGAGATTGTTTTTCAGACTACAGGCTGCTGGAAAGCTGAAGATGGGCATGCCAAGAAAATTGCCAAAGAAGTTCAGAACTATCTTCAAATTCTTTATAGAGGAGACCTCAACCTGAAGCAACTGAGATATTTTAAGCTCAGGCTTTGGCCCAACTAATCTCCAAATTGCTATTCAAGAGCTGTGGTTAAAATGCAGTATTGCAGGCAAACTGCCTATAGCCAGGAGTTCGATCCTGGCCGACTCAAAGTTGACTCAGCTTTCCATCCTTCCGAGGTCAGTAAAATGAGGAGTCAGATTGTTGAGGGCAATATGCTGACTCTGTAAACCGCTTAGAGAGGGCTGTAAAGCATTATGGAGCAGTATACAGGTCTAAGTGCTACTGCTATTCTACTATGTGGAATAATTGGAAAAGATAGAACAGACATTTTTGTAGCCATCTTCTGTGGCTAGCTATATGTCCAGTGCAAAACTGTGGCTGAAAATGATACTTAACTGAGATTGAGATTAGAATTTCCATTTGACTTTTTAATCTTGTTTAAAAATGTATTTTTAGCAAGGCCCGGCCTCCCTATATTTTTCATAATTAACCAGGTTAGGCAGAGAGTAAATAAGGCTGTATGATCCCACCTCCTAAGTTTCTAACCTCCCTTAGATATAAGAATGCCACGCAGACTCAGGCAT